TATATATATATATATATGTGTGTGTGTGTGTGTGTGTGTGTTCATGTTTATATTTATATTTTTATTTATGTTAATTTTAATATTAATGTAGAACCAACGTTTTTTTTTTTTGAGCAACTGGGTTGGTGCCCTACGCAAACTGCGTACTCTGCGCATAGGGAGCGACGGTACTGATTGGGCCTAAATAAGTTGGACTTTTCCAACATTTAATATTATTATTATTATTATTATCTTTGAACAAACAACTGAATAGTTTTAAGTGATTTTATTAGAAGTGTGTGTGTGCGTGTGTGTGTGTGTGTGTGCGTACGTGCGTGTGTGTGTGTGTGTTCTTGTGAATGTACAATTTTCATCGATACAAGCGCTGCTTTATATAGAGTGGGAGCCCCACATATTTCGCGCGCTTTAACGCCATTGGCCAGTTTCACTGGCGTGATTCAATAAGGCTTCAGTAGTATTTGGAGAAAAGGGTGATTCCCTTATAATTATAGTAAATTATACAATAATTTAATCATTATAATCAATAATATAATAATTATACAATGAATTAAATATAATAAATTATATATATATAAATTATTCATATTGAATATATGTTTTCCTTCTAATATTTTTTTATCTTTGTGTATACAATTACAAAAACGAAAAAAGATGGACAACAGATCATTTTTCTGTTGAACAATAATCAATTTATAAATTAAATCTCTCAGTTTTTTTTTCTCTCAAATACTTCGAGCTTTGGTCCAGTTTAATCACTGATCTACATAACGATGTCTCTATTATAGATCAGTGAGTTTAATACTTCTAAATGTGTCGATTTTACCATAGACATAATAAATACCTAGACGCCTCATTGGCTGTTCGATCGCACGTCAACGTCGCCGCCATATTGGTGAAGGCAACTCTCCATAACTCTCATATCGGGACAGGCGAAAACATACCTGACTCGTCGGCAGCTTGGGCATCTACAAACCGTCGCACAATAATAAAAACAGACCTCGGGGTATTATCTTTCCAAAGCGGCCAATGAGGCGTCTAGGTATTTATTATAGCCTTGTCCAAATACCCACACTTGCGGTCTTTGCACTTGACCACTTGACTA